GGCGCGTGCACTCGCCAGACAGACAGAGAGAGACAGAGAGACAGAAAGTGAGAAATCACCCCCCAGAGGGGATGGCCACGCCGTAATCCCTTTTCCTCCGTTCTCCTCTCGGTATCTTGGGCACGCACGCAACATGTGCCCAGCGTGAGTTTTAAGCCACCGGGTCCGGGATGCGAACCGCAGTCGACTATGTGGGAGTCCAGCGACATAGCCATTATGCTAGCTGCTGGTCCCGGGTTTCTGATTTTTAATCCATTCAGCCAGTCCGTGTCTCTTGATCAGAGAATTTAATCCATTAACATTCAACGTTATTATTAATATTTCCAGACTTGTCCCTACCATTAAGTTGGCCATATTCTTGGTTTTTTGTTTGTTTGTTTGTTTGTTCTCTTATTGCTGCCTGTCTGTCTTTAGTTTTCTTGGTATAGTATTCCTTTCAGAATTTCTTGAAGAGAAGTTCTGGAGTTGATAAATTCTTTCATGTTTTGTTTATTGGAGAATGTTTTTATCTTTTTTTCCCATATGAAAGATAATCTTGCTGGATAAAGTATTCTTGGTTGAAATTGTTTTTCATTTAACACTTTGAATATATTTTCCCATTCTTTCTTCTCTTTCATTGTATCTGATGAGAAGTTTGGTGTTAGCCTGATGGGATGCCCTTTGTAAGTGACTTGACCTTGCTCTACTTATAATCTTATTATCTTTTCTTTTTCTGAGGTTTTGGCCAATTTGGATATGATGTGCCATGGAGAGGATCTTTTGGATTGATTCTATTTGGGATTCTTTGTATTTCTTGGGTCTGAATGTTTGAGTGCCTATCTAGACTTGGAGAGTTTTCATCCAGGATTTCATGAAATAGATTATCAATGCCCTTGTTAGTTTCTTCCCCTTATGGTTACCAATTATTCAGATGTTTGAGTGTTTCATGGTATCTAGTATTTCTTGTATATTATACTTATTTTTTGTTGTTATTTTCTCAGTATTTTTGATATTTCTTTTAGGTCTGAGATTTTGTTTTCTACTTGTGAGATTTTATCTTCTGCATGTTCTAGCTGGATTTTAATACTTTTGAGGGAGAGTTTGATTTCCTGTAGTATAGCCTTCATATCTAACAGTTCCTTTTTTGTTTTGGAGAAGTTTTTGTTATAGGGCACGTGCGCTCACCAGACAGAGACAGAGAGATAGAAAGCGAGAAATCACCCCCCAAGGGGGATGGCCAAGCTGCAATCCCTTCTCCTCCATTCTCCTCTTGGAATCTTGGGCATGCATGCACACGTGCCTGGCATGAGTTTAAGCCACCTGGTCCAGGACATGAACCGTGGTCAACTACATTGGTGTCCAGCGACATAGCCATTATGCTAACTGCTGGTCCCATAACAGTTCCATTTTTTTAATGGTGTCCATTTCTTCTTTCATATTATTGAAGGACTTCCTTATCTCTTGGAACTCAATGTCTCTTTTCTCTTGCATCTCATAGTGTTTTATCATAAATAGTTTAAATTCTTTTTCTGACATTTCAGTAATATCCTTTCATTTTTCCCTATTTGAAGACGAGTTACAGCATTCCCTTGAGGAATATATATTATTTTATTCTCTTATCCTTGAGGCTCTTCTCTGATTTTTAGTCATCTGGTAGTGCATTCATTTTTGGCTAATTTGTTGGAGAAGGATTCTGTAACAATGAGCTCATGTGTTTCCCTTTGCTGTGAAATAACTCATTGCTATTATCTCCATTCTACTGTGTCCTCCAGTGTGGTAATCACTGGAGAGTTTGACATCGTATTTATGAAGGGGAGTGTCCCTCTTTTTACGATCAGTACAGTGAGGGGCAAAGAATTCTCTAAAGGTCACAATATTCGGATGTTTAGCTACTATGCACCTAGACTTCTCTACGCAATTGGTAAGGACTGACCAGTCAAATAAGAAAGTAAGGTAAAAGAAAAGAAAATAGGAAACAGAAATAGGAAGAAAAACAAAGGAAAATAAGGAAAGTAGAACAAAAAGACGAGAAAAAAGCATAAATCACATCACAGAAAATAAAATTGAGTTAAAAACGGGAAAGGGCAGCACAGGCAGAAATGGAGATTCTTGCAAATTCTGTCCTAGGTGAGGGAAGAAGACACAAATTAGGAAGAGAAAGGTACAAAGGGGTAGTAAGCTGTTTTATTTTATTTTTATTTTTTTATTTTAAATAGAAAAAAAGTTAGAAGGGACAGTAAAGAAGAAGTGGGAGAGAGAGACTTTGCCTACCTGACTAGCACTGAGTTCTAGAAGGTAGTCCTGGCTGGGAAGACTTCACAGATGTGAAGCTGAACCCAGGAAGGGCAGCAGAGGCAGAGGTAGAGATGCCTGCATGCATTCTGTCCTGACTAGCACTGGCGTTTGGAAGGGGTGTGTGTGTGGGGGACTTCTATACTTTTTAAAAAAGTATTCATGGGACCAGCAGATAGCATAATGGTTACACCATTGGACTCCCACATGGCCAAACATGGTTCAAGTTCTGGACCGGGAGGCATCAAACTCACACCAGGTGCATGTGTGTGTATGCCCAAAATCCAGAGAGAAGAATGAAGGAGAAACAATTGCAGCAGGACCATCACATCCATTACCCCAAATTCTCACTTTTGATATTTACCTTTCTAGCTTTCAATATGAGACATTTTATGGGAGTTTTACATTTTAAAAGGGTTATAATAAAGGTGGAAGAACATTTGTCTTCACTGTAGTTTCTGTAGTGAGTGCAGATATGTGAATGGCTGTCATTCTTTCCTGCATCTGGAGTAAAGGATAGTTTTAAAGTAACTTAATATGCAGAGCCAATGGTTGTTCATGCCATATACAATGGTTCATCTACTCTTTCCTCTTGTTTCCTGTTTCCAAATTGTTAGAAAAATGTAAAAATTTCTGACCACTAAATAAGCGAGAAATCTTGTAGCCTATAAACTATTTTGCTGAATTGAAAGGTATATTGAAAGGCTCCTAAGGAAGACTTGTTTTTAAACAAGAGAATAAAAACATAATTTTGAAAGCATAGTGAATAGAATAAAACAGCAAAATTTTCCCTGAGCATTGAAAGTATATGAATAACACTGTAGTACTTTAGAAGCTCCAAGTATGTATTTCTCATTGTTAGCACCTGTCTCTTAAGGATTTGCTGCCAACTAATGATTAGAATCTGTCAGTGCCACCCTATTTAAGGAGGACAGATGAGACAATATTGAAGATAATAAAGCAATCAGGTAGTTCTTAGCATGCAAAATGACCTAGAAACTGTCATTAATTTTTAAAATTTTTGGAGAGGATTTTGCTACAGGGCACATGTGCTCACCAGAGAGACAGAGAGACAGAAAGGGAGAAATCACCCCCCAGGGGGATTGGCCATGCCACAGTCCCTTACCATCCATTCTCCCCTCGGGATCTTGGGCATACATGCACACGCGTCCGGCATGAGTTTAAGTCACCGGGTCCAGGACTTGAACCGCTGGTTGACTATGCAGTCAGCAACATAGCCATTACGCTAACTGCTGGTCGTCCCATCTAATTTAGCTTTTATCATCACTTTCCCTTAAAGTTAAACTCAAGTATTACTCTCACATGTATTTTTTTTTCTTTAGAATTATTATCTGTTACGTGGAAGCTAACATATCTCAGAAGTCCCATACTACTATCAAGTACTTTATGAAGATGTGGAGCAGTGTTAGTGACACCCTTATCTTCATTTTCCTTGGAGTTTCTACCATTGGAAATAACCATGAATGGAATTGGCCTTACATTTGTTTCACTGTCATTTTTTGTCTTATTTGGAGAGCATTAGGTATGACAAATATTGTTGTTTATGTAAAAATATGCCAACTGAATTTGAGATATGCATTAGAAGCAAGAAATTTAAAATTCCAATTTGTGTTTTTGCTTTATTTTGTATAGGCAGACTATTTTATATTTCTACTTATGTAAGAAGTGAGTAGTAGCAAGGTTAGAAAATAGCTCTGGAACTAGACAACTTGAATTCAAAACCTAGCTTCACTCCTTAGCCTTATGACATTGTGCATATCATATAATCACTGGCCTTATAATACTCAGCTATAAATGGGAATGGGAATACTACCAAATTGAAATTCTGCCAGCTATTGTGAAAATTACATGAGATTATTCAGTCACAGAGTATAACACAGATAACACAGAGCCTGGCATATTGTGAGTTTATATATATATAAATAATGTTTTTACTACTACTATTGCTGTGGCCTTGGCTTCTGCTGCTGCCCCTACTAAAAATACCAATCCTGTTATAGTGTGATATAACAAATCTATGAACGCGTTTAGTACTACTTCTAAAATTTAATTCCCGATACCATCACTATTTCTAGGATAAGAGCTGAGCCGTTTCTGTCTTTCCCTTTCAGGGTTTTCATTTCTCTGCTTCACTGTAACTTACAAAGGAGTAAAAGTTATCACCACCTTTAGCACTGTTGTACTAATTTCCCACAGTAACACACTTATATGCACCTTGATTATGTCTTCATCAGTGCTATTGAAGTACTGCTTGTACCTTGGGGAATGTTAACTCCAGCAGGAAAATACACAGCATCTGTGTCTTTTTTTCAAACTCTGGCATAGGCTGAGTGACACTTAGTGCCCCAAGACCACGGCTGCTATGTGACTTTAGTGTTGGCTACAGCTAAACCCACTTGTCAGTACAACCCTTGTATTGAAAAAAAAAGTCCACATGTACTGAAGCGAAATGCACAGGCGTAGCATGTTTTCCATTATGAAAATATCTCAGCTTAGTTTCTAGTTAAACTGAGCTATTTCTTTTTTAACTTACATTTTATAGTCTTCATATAAATTCAGTTTATAGTTTATTTTCTTTTCTTGACATTTATAACTCTAATTTCCTCCTCCTCCACAAATGAACAAAGTCATGTGGACTTATTTTTTTGGAGACTATGACTCTTACTATAGTGATATGAAGTGGCACATTAGGAAAATTGCTTAGGTTTTTTAAGGATGAATGATAAAGGAGGCCAAGGAATGTTTTATTATAGATTAAAATGTGTTTAGGTTGATCATTAGCAGTGAGACCACCAGCTGAATGTTATATAAGTTCTTAGAATACTATTTCTAGTTTATTCTGAGTCCACTGGAAAAATCTCATTAGGGTTGTAAGATGTTCTTTTTTTCATATAAACATCTTTATAAATAAAAGCAAACAAAAATTTAATTTGTGCTTATATAGTATTAAAAAAAAATAGTCGATGGATAAGAAAAAAAGGCCAGGTATTACTGAGGAGGTTTTTTTCTATAAAATGTTAACATCTAGCAAAAGTGTTAGAGATGAAGGCCAGGATTTCTATAAATTTATAAACAGATGATCTTTAAATTAGAATGGTTCAACTTATGATTTTTCTTTCTTAGTTTTTTTTTTTTTAATTGTCAGAGGGAGCATGAGAGAGAGAGAAAGAGAGAAAGCATCTCTCCACTCCTGCAATGGGGCATGGTCATGCCATATTCCTTTTTTTTTCTTCATTCTTCTAAACTGTCAGGGCTTTGGGTATGCATGCATGCATGTACACAAACATACACATATGCCTAGTGTGAGCTTCCAGTGCCGGAATTCAAACTGTGATTGGCCATGTGGGATCCAGCTTTCTATGCACAGCATTTGACTGCTGTGCTACAAGGCTAGTCTTTCTTTTTCTTTCTTTCTTCTTTCTTTCTTTCTTCTTTCTTTCTTTCTTTCTTTTCTTTCTTTCTTTCTTTCTTTCTTTCTTTCTTTCTTTCTTTCTTTCTTTCTTTCTTCTTCTTTCTCTTTCTTCTTTCTTTTTCTTTCTTTCTCTCTTTTTTGCTTTCTTCTTTCTTTCTATCTCATGTTTCCTTTTTCTTTCTTTTTATTCCTTCTTTATTTTGGTTTCTTTCTCTTTCATCTTTACCTTGCTTTCATTCTTTCCTTTTTCACTTTTTCTAGTTTATTTGTTAATTCTTCAGAGAGAGAGACAGAGACAGAGATATAGGAGCTCCAACAAAGTCTTCATCCTGTGATCCACCTTCATTCTCAGCTAGCCTGGCTCATGGGCACACATCTGTGTGACTGGTGTGCTGAGGACGGTCCTGGAAAGGGAACTCAGGAATCTTCCCATATGGGTCCAATTAGGTTACCATTGTACAATTCCCTGGCCCTCACATTATAATTTTTTAACTTTATAATGACATGAAAACATAAGTATTTAATAGATACTTTTAATCTTTTCCTGGACTATTGATATGCCATATAATATTCTTACAATGTTGGGTAGCAGCAGCCAGTCATCTGGTTTTCATTTTTATTGGGGTTTTGGAAAAGTCATGACACATTTTTGAGTAGAAAAATACATTATGACTTTTTTGACAACCCAATGGTACAGTAGTCCAAATAATACATGAAATATTCAATGCCTTATTATAAAACAGGCTTCTGATAGATGATTTTGCTGAACTGCTGTCTAATGTAAGTGTTCTGAATACATTTAAGGTATGGAGCTAGACCATGATGTTCAATAAGTTAGGAGCATTAAATACATTTTGATTTGTAATATTTTCAATGTACAATGGTTTTTTTGGGTCATAACCCCACTGTAAGTAAAGGAGCACCTGGATATAGTCTTGTATGAAAATTCAGAAGACAGATATAGAATGTTTCCAGTATCATTTTATTTCTAAACTATAATATGTAGATATCACTGCCTCTGCTGTGAAGAAAAAAGAAATATCCTCTATTTTAATATAGTCAATGAGGGGTCTGCAACTCCATAAATCTGACATCACAGTTTAGCTTAATCCAGTGGCCAGGTATACGGGGGAAAAGGTGAACTGAGTATAGAGTAGAGGGGGCCATGTTATTTTTCCCTTTATACTTTAGCCATATTGAATTTTAGTCATATTGAATGATACTTTTTACAATTCTATTACATTAGGTTTCAGTAATTGTTTAGTTTTTTTTTTTTAAGCTGAGAATTTATATAGGATCTAGAATAAGCAAAACTGAAAAGTTAAGGTCTAATCCATATTTGCTAAATCAAAGCAATATGCTTAAGTTGATGAAATGAAATTTGACTGAAAGTTCCTGGATAACTTATCTGTTTAGTCAAAATGGCAATTTTGCCCTAAATGGACATACCGAAACTAGCTTTGCATTCAAGCAGTTTAAATGCAATATAGGGTGAGTGGAAATATTATATGTGTTTCAGTATTACTTGGAAGAACTTAAATGTTCAAAAATAAAGGAGTAATTAAAACAAACTACTAGAAAAACAATAATATGAATAATCATGTAAACTGTTTTTTATATAACTAAAGAGAAATATTGCATTTTGTTTGTAGAGATTGCTTTTTGCAGAATATCCCAGACAATTCACATGGGTAAACAATCAAAACAAAACACAACTATTTTAAAAAAAATTCCTGCAAATAATTTTATGAGATAAACCTCTTAATGGTTTATTAGTTTAGGCTCTTAAATTATTCATCATAAATATGTAGAATTTCAGGACCAGCAGTTGGCGTAATGGCTATATCACTGGACTCCCATGTAGTTGACTGTGGTTCGAGTCCCGGAACTGGTGGCTTATACTCACGCCAGACACATGTGCATGCATGCCCAAGATCCCAAGAGGAGAATGGAGGAGA